ACACACAGGGCAACGGTTTTATAGAGGACTGAAGAACATCCACTCAGAGCTCACACTCCTAATGGTCACATATTCTGAAAATAGATTTATTAGGGCTTTAATTATGTTAACCCTAAAAACACAACACTTGGACACTGCTAGCACGGGGCCCACACAAACGCTAAGCAGGAGATGAAGAATCACTGAATATGTTTCCAAACCACTGTCCCTCCCCCAGATTCTCGAGGTTCTGGTTGGGGGGCTGTAGTCTTTTATTGCAGATACATCCTATCTGGAAGATCTGCTTCTTTTTGATGTAAGCTTCCTGCGTTTACGACCCTTTGGTCAGCAGGAGGTAACACACACACACACACACACACACACACACTCTTACTTACATACAGAAGTTCACATATACATACAACGCCTTGTCTGGGCGTGGCTTTGTTCTGACGTGTTTTGTGTGAACTGTCTCTCAATAAAAAGGCAGCAAGGGAGGTCGTCGTCGGGGTCATTTTCGTGGTGGACACAGACGAGGCCTCCCTTGCGCAAGTGATTGATCGATTGACTGTCTTGTTTTCTTCATGATGAATACGTCTCTAGAACTAGCGGGGCTTGTGGAAACGCAGGCCCAACAGTCTCCCTGCAGGGTTGGTTTTCCTGTCAGGAGCAGCACTGGACTGTTTAAATCAAACAGGATCCCACAGCTGTTTATGTTTTTGAACCCATTTTGCACAGAGAGACATGAAAAATGTATTGATATCAATGTTGAATATTATTACACAGGAAAAAACAACAGCACGTAAAATAATCACAGCGTGACGCCTCTGCCTTTGTAAATGGAGGGACAGTAACTGCGCGTGTATATGTAAGTGTGTAAAACCTGCAGATAGAGACAAAATACTGTTAATCTGAATATCTATCATTCTGTGATTCATCTCATGTAAACAACAACGTGGCCACAGCGTGACGTGAATAAAGGCACATACCTTTGACGCTGTGATGAACTCTGTATTCCTCGTCCACACGGAAACACAAAAAAGGAGTTTAAAAAAATCTCAGTTTTCAGTGATTGGAAACGTTGTTTACGTGGACGAAACAGCTGTGTGTTCAAAATCACCCGTGTAGGTGCGGACGCAGCGTAACAGAGTTAGTAGTTTATTTTATTACTGCCTGTAATTTATTGCAGATTACTTGTATTTGTTTAATTGTTTAGTAAATGTTTGAGGTGTGAAATAAACCACAATGGAGCAAAATATGTGTGTGTGGTTGGAGGAAGTGTTTGTGCGTGTGCACGCGTGAGAAGGGGGGGAACATTTTTCTTGTAAAACAGGGGGGCCCAGCAAAAACAGTTTGGGAACTGCTGCATTAAAGTAAGTTGTTGTGGTATAGGCCCACGTGTACGTGACCACTTGTGTGGTGCAGACAACAGAACACTTGTGATTATTTGTTGCTACGTTTGGTTTTGTGTTGTAACAGGTCAGGTGATCATTTTGTGTTTGACTGTTGTGCTCCTTTGTGTTGGTCACATGTTACTTTCTGTGTGTTCAGTGTGGCGACTTTAAATCCTCATGCCCAGCCATGCTTAGAGATGTGAACACTGTGCTTCTGTTAGCTCTTAC